AGGAACAAACGAAAGGCGTATGAACTGAGCAATCAGTCACCGGCTCCCAATGGGCGCGATTCCCTGAATTCGCTCCGCTGCCTTGCGGACAGGCTATTCAGCCAAAGGCTCGGGGTGGTGTCCCCTAAGTCAACACCCTACTTCGGCTTGGGCAACCGGGTAGTATCTCGCCCTCTGAGGAAACCATGGACATTGTTGTGTTGTGTTTTATTTTACTATTTCTGTACCTTCGTTTGGATCCCATGGTTTCTGATGGCATTATGTCTATTCGTAGACTTTTGCAAATATATATATATATAGACTGTACTATGGGAGATAGTGCAATGGAGTGAGTGCACTATCAACTCGATTTTTGAACTCGATCAGGTTGGGTGCACTGACTACAGATTCTGGGAGAGCATTCCAGGCTTGGCAAACACGCACGGAAAAGAAATTCCGTCGACATTCCAAACGGCTGTACTGCACTGCCAGCTTCAGATGATGGCCTCTCAGATTGTTGTTGTTACTGAGCTCCAGCAGATGGCGGCAGGTATGAATGGGGTCTGTCAGAATCTGATAAGCCAAAATCAAATCTCCCCGTAGTCGTCGATATTGACCACTAAATATCCCGAGCAATCTCAGTCTGTCTTCGTAGCGTAACTGGCCTAAACCTTTCACGTTCTTCGTTGCGCGTCGTTGAGGTTTCTCTAAATCAGAGAGGTCTTTCCTCAGCCACGGCTGTCAGACTTGTATTGCATACTCCACGTGTGGTCGTATGTATGCACTTAGAAGTTGGTAAAAAACGGATGGATTGAAGCGTCCAAATGTGCGCCGGAGAAGGCCCAAATTTCGAATGCTCACGTTCGATGCTTTCTTTGCCTGGGCTGAACAACCAAGGTCGGACTGAATCAAGACTCCTAAATCCTTTTCCTCAGCAGCTGTGTGAAGCACATGGTCACCCAGTTTATAGAAAAATGCTGATTGGTGACGTAAGTGTAATACTCTGCACTTTTCTGTGTTGAGTGGGAGTTGGTTCTGAACTGACCACGCATACACCTTATCCAGATCCTTTTGAAGTATTGCGGAAGGACGTACCGTTTTGGTACACATAATTCGGGCCTCAAATGACGAATGTATGTTGCCTCGGCAATGGAGAGGAGCTGCTTGCATAAGGTTTGCGTGAAGTGTTCAGACACTGAGTAGATAACTTTAGTCATTCACAGAGGTTGTGAAGACGAAATCAAAAAGGTACGACAAGATAGAGCTGTTATAAAATCTCATCCCACCTATGTAGAATCACGCCGGAAAGCGCTCGCGAATTCTTTGAGATATGCACCTAGTAGTTCGAGCCACGTATTCGTGCGCCACAGGAGCACGAGTGCTGATAAACGAGCATTGAAGGGGTCAACGAGGGCAGTCCATCCTTCAAAGATTTTGCAAGCAGCAAGCTGGTGTAGTAAACAGTCCTCAATCAAGATACGAAATAAATCTTCTCAATAGCATCTCTCAAGCCTCGAGATATGTTATCAACAGCGGAATCGCTGTCAAACGGCAGGCGCATAAACAGTCCTATTTTAGGAGCAGCGCCCTCAGGTGGCTTGCAATTCTGATCCTTCAGATGATTTGCGATAAATTGAGCTGGAGAGGCATTTTCTTTCAGGGCGTCGCTGATTCGCTGTAATTCTGCGCTGACTGTATCATGCGCAACTACTGCGCGCCCTGAAGACGAGAGATCGGACCAAACTTCTCTTGTAATGTAACGCTATGGCACTGTAAAAATTCGTGTACTGCCCAGTCAATGTATGCTTTCTGTGCACCTTTCTGCTGATAGATCCGTCAGAGTTACAGATAACAACGTCATCCAAAAAGGTGGTTTCCAAACTCATACTCGCAAACGAAGTGGAGATTCGCATGAGGGTCATTAGAAGCTTTCAGCATGCTTTTCCGATTTGCAAAGTACGAAAGTGTCATCTATATAACCTACATAAATTTCGATCTCGTCAATCTGCGTTTTGAGTGGGCCATAATCCAATTTTGACATAAATATATCGGCCAGCATAGGCACCAACCAGATCCCATGAACACCGTTAAGTTGACGGTACATTTCACCATTGGAGATGAACTAAACGTTTAGCGTGCTTCTGAGCAGTTTCCGGAAAAATTGCATAAATTGGTAGCTGCCGGGCCAATTCGCACACGTACTGCAGTTTTGAGCAGCGAAATCTTTGTGAACAGCGATTGGGCGTCAAATGATATCATCCTTTTGACAGCAAGGTTAAGTTCGGTTATTTGTTCAATGAATTCAAAAATATCTCTTACACAGTAAATGCAATCCATATTGCGTAACGGTCGCAACTTCTCCACCATTCATTGGGCCAATATTTGGTCCTGAGATTTTTTTGTTTTCGTTTTGCACCCTGCTCTTGCTTAAAGATTAACCATGTACCTATGAGATCTGCGCCAACAACGGCAAGTTGGACCGCCGAATCGAATCTTTGACTTTGTGTTTCAGCACCTTCGGCCTGGCTTGACGATGTGACATGCGTCTGTGTCAACCTACTCATTGCGGTGTGCTAGAGCCAGTTTCATATTTATCCAACGCTTTCTCTTCGCTATTGCTTCTAATGCAGCATTTGCCGTTTTCTTGGAAGCCTGCTTTTTAGCTCCCATGTCCACATAAAAGATGAGGCAATATGATTGGTTTTTTTCCCATTTGCATTTCGTTTGTAGTCATTTGCGTAAATAGCACGCTGTTACCGAAAACGGAAAAGCAGAGGCAAACGGATTTCTCAAACGCATTCACATGTGTACTTCCTGAGTAGCTTATATACACTTCCCATGCATAGACAAATTGGCATTTGTTCCGAAAATTAAGATGCTCCATTTAAGAGGTACGGTTTTAGTTACGTAACTACGAGTATCTGGTTCCATCCTTACCAACATTCTCAATTGTATCCATTGGAGCGTGCCATTTGGCCTTCAATGGCAAAATGAAAAAAAATCGGAGGACAGTTCAATTTGTTGTTGCCGACCGGGAAGAAGACAGAGTTCAAATCCCCCGAACGGGAACGGTACCTGAATAGCGTGACACCGTTATGTGCCGAATGATGATTTCTAGAGCTCTAGGCTGTCCGCCATGTGGATACTGACTTGCGCAATCGCTCTTCAAATCGACGATGTCGCTTATTGGCGACAGCGGAAGCAATCGCTATTCGTCTCCATAATCCCGAATCATTTGCCCAAAAGAAGTTTGTACAGGCTCTACTGCTGCCATGGTCTCAAGCTTCACCATGTTACGACACCACGATTGACCCTTCCACTAACGATGCCCAAGCCAGTGTGGTCACTTGATCACATTAACCGGTCAATTCACTTCATGGATTCATCGTCTTTAAATACACTGTGTTTGATTTATTCCTATCGTCTGTGGTATGCTGACCTGATGCGAACCACCGAAAACAAGCTTGTTCGTCTAACTGTCTTTTGATTCTGACATAGTTATTTGTGTATGGAGTGGCCAGAACCCAGATGAGTCCGGTTAGTGATTTCAAACAACGCGACAGAGTCGTCGTTCAGAACTTTCTCACCCAATGTTAAGTCATCAGGTCTGGAAGTAGATCAACCATCCAAGTTTTATGGCACCTACGTTATCAAACGGCACGTACAAAGCCGTCTATTCATGGGAGTTCAGAATGAGGCTGAGAATGATGCATGTTCCCGCTCGATTTGTGCCGGTACTTAAGCATCTCCTATTGCGGGCAGCTAACAACAAGAAGCTAGACTGCGCGTGTTAGTTCTATAACCATATTAGAGCCGTGGTTTACATTTCTGGTTGCATAACACAAGTTAACTCCCAAAATACTCAGTGGCGTCTACTGATCTACCTATCTTAGAGTCTGAACGTTGAACACAGCCAGAGGAACCGAGCAGTGCGGTCTGATGAAGGGTTTTGCCGGCACTTCCGTGATGATGTGGATACACGTCAGAACGTCAGTTGGGCCGCAGCCGCCCTCCATTAAGCTGGATGATGGCTAGTGATTGGACCAGGAAATAGGCAGAAGTAACAGGCGGAAAAGAAGGAAGGGAGCCATATGCAGTTTGCTATACAGTCCAGGGTGTGTTGATTCTCTTAGTCAAAGAGGATGAAACGTTTTCTGTCCGGATAATCGATTGAATTCCAATCGGTACGATCTAAGGGATCTGACCGCCACATGTGTGTACATACGAGCTGAGAATGGAACGTGTAATTCCGCACGAGTGCACTTCAGATCAAGAGAGATTGACCGAGAGCAAAAGTTCGTCTGCCAGCGCAACCAAAGGCAAACATGTTTTTAACAACCTCGTATTAAGGATAACTCGAAAGAATGACAATGGTAATATTTCGAGCTTTGCGACAAGCAAGTTCACTTATTTGTCCCGCTGGATGCAGCAGATGAGGTCTTTCTTTTGGGCTATGCGTCTGATGCAAAAAGGAGGCGACGACATGAAAATAATCTGGCATTACAGAAATGGGTAGCGCTTCAGTCACAACTTCCAACCACAGTTGCAGAAGATTTAATTAGTCTAACTTTGGACAACTGAGTAGCCTGGTAGGAGAAGCTCTCGAGGCAACCGAAGGCACTATCTGGTACATTTCAATGGGTTGAAGGCATAGAAGAACGACCGAACAACTAAGAGTCCAAGTCTGATTGCGACGGCAATGGGACTGTGGGTTCGATCTGTGCCTTAGGGACACACACGCACAAGGGTGGAACCGGTCGTGGATTTAAAAGTTTCCCATAGCAGCATTGACGAATACAAGACTGTACACATCAACAACCCATCACCTGAGCATGCGCCCGACGACGAGTGCAAATCTTCGCCATTATGTTGGTTCGATCTGAACCGCGCTGATTCCACCACAGAACTTCCTATACCTCAAACATCCTAATCTCAATGGAGATAAAATCAACTAGGACAACTAACTGGTCTCGCGGCCTGAATGTAGCTACATTCTTATTTGTAACAAGCGCTTTCGTGACCGACGCGAAAACTCTAAAACGTCATTTATTCACAAGGAACATATGGAGGAGGTAAAAGACAGCGGGGCCATAAAAATAGATGGGAGAGAAAGTCATCCTATCGGAAAGGGACATAGTTAGCGTAGACTGCGTGTGAGGACGGAGGCCCGCATAACCTTTTCCTGAGCCCACTTGTTCGAGTGGTCTACTTCGAAGCACTGCCATATTCGTAACGTTTCGTCTGATGCACAACTTGCGACCATTTCGCCATTCGGTGAGGACGCGATGCAAAGTACGCGTCCCTGGTGCTCTGAGGTGTGAGTAGGGGGAAACAAACAGAGTGAGTTCATAATTGAATGCAGGCGGATGTAGTAGTGGCACGAAAAACTAGTTTACCAAATCAGACGTTATTATAGAGCACGTTTAACAACCGCATTGAGGCAACTAACTGCGGAACATCATTCACAGCTGCAATCGACGACTCGGAGATTCCGGAGACACAAAGCACAGGCAGCTTCACTAAACAAGAACCCAAGGGATAAGAGGTTTGTTAAGTGGCTAAACGTTTGCATGCTTACTTTGTGGAGATGACTTACACTGATCGCCGGAAAGTGATGGGTCTGATTGAGCGCGGATGTTGCAAGACAAATCCAATGTGAAACCAGTTTTGGACATGATTTGTGTATACTTGTAACAGGAAACCAAAAGTATTTACACGATGGAAAGTATTAGAGAAAAGAGTAGAGGACATCTGCATAGAGGCTATGTGGAAGGAGCCATTGTAATGAGGCTGGACCTTACCATGGTGCGATGGTATGTGTGCCTCAGGGATCCATTGAGCTATGCTGGGTTGTGCAATTTTACACCTACAGAACCACTCATACCAGATTGGTCAATAGTTAGAGGTCAGACAAATTCAACCTCCTGGTCCTCCAGGTTGGGGGTTGGAATGAGGGTAGTACCTTATTCCTTAAAACGGACTCCTTGTAGCCTAACGCCAAACCGGCTGCCTTGCGGTAAGGTTTTTGAACCAAAGACTTTAGTTGAGAACCCTAATTGTACACCTCTCCAGGCCTGGGCAACCTGACAGTATCCTGCCCACGCAATACAATGAATCTCTCTTCAAACAAATTTCGGATGCTCTGGCCACCGCAGAGGATAATCAACGGTGCCCTATCTGCTGCATCGAGCAGGGTGGATAGGGGTTTGGATGTTAGTGTCCAAGACTTCCGGTCTTCTTATTCCACTCTTACGCCTTTTCACCCCTATCGACCAGTTCCAACTTCACTTTTATCCCCCATGTTTTCAACCCCCCAATTCTTGGTCCTCCCCCACCTTGCTTTGCAAGGCGTTTCTCTTTTAATTTCAAGTCGCATGTGAACGCGCAGCGTCATTCCTGTCCTGTCGACAAGCCAATGTCCAACCAAACGGCCAAGCCCAGTTAATCGGCTTCCACTTGGAGCTCTCGATCATGCTTCAGGTTGACATGCCTCAATGTACGCACATTGTTACAAATCGGTCAACAGACAGCACTTGCCCGAAAATTAGAGACCTACTCGATCGATATCTGCTGCTTATCGGAGATTCGCCTGCAAGACTCGAGCTCTGTGCTCACTCTGCGATCCCCTTCAGGTGACACTAGCAGCATTTTCTCATTGCACCTATCCGGTGAAGATACAGGTTCGAGCACCGGCCATGCCGGTGTTGGTGTTGCCCTGAGACCCCGGGCTGAAACTGTTCTGGCTGACTGGATTCCAATCAGCCGCCGATTGCGCGCAGTCCGATTGGCTGGCTCGTTCAAAGCTTCGAAGTCACGTGGGACTAATAGGTGTCTATTCATCATCACTGCCTACGCGCTCACAAACTGTATCGATGATTCGGTAAAAAACGACTTCTGCCGCCAACTGACCCAGCTCCTTCGCCACAGAAGAAGCTCGGACACTGTTGTGCTGGCGGGGGATATGACTGCACAAGTTGAAGAGTTGTCCACTGATGAAATGCATCTGGGCGGTTGGCACGGTGTAGGCTCCCGTAATGATCACGGTGAGCGGTTACTTCATTTGTGTGAAGATGCCCGCTTAATTCTAGCGAACACTAATTTCCGACACAGCATTCGCCGGAGAGTGACTTGGCGCCCCCCAGCCTTGGACGCAAATCGATCAGATTGGAATCAGTTACCGCTGGCGAGGCCGGATCTAGAACTGTCGCTCGATTTGGAGCACATGTGGGGACACCGACCATGCACTTGTATATGCTGACATGCGGATGCGTTTTGGCGGACGCCCATGACGACGTTGTGAGCGCATTGACACCAGCCAATTGACAAAGCCAGCTGTTCTGAATGCATAGCAAAGTACGCTGATATGCGAGTTGAGTAAGCGTTCGCTGGAGACAATTGAAGGTCACTGGTCACATGGTCACCAGACCTTATTAGCAGCGGACAAATCCTCATGTGGTATGTCTACTAGCCAACATGGATATTGGGTCTCTTATTAGTCTCTGGAACTTATAGATGCTCGCCAACATATCCCGGAAGGAAGCGAACACAATGAGACTCGCAAAGAGCTCCGAGCAAGACTCCGTGCTAGCCTGAAGAGAGACCGCGAATCTTGGTGGTCTATTCGTGCGTCCGAGATGGAAGTGACCGCTGCCCTTGGTAACCATCGTAAGTTATTCCGTCTGATACGGGAAACGGGCAGCAGGAGACCTGGTGTTAGTGAAACTATACGTGACGAAAGTGCACAGGCTATCCACAATTTGTCGAAGCTTTTGGAACGTTGGCTGAGCATTTCGGAAAGCACTTTAATTGGCCAGAATTGTTCGATTCTTCGCCTGCCAATAATCGCCCGGCTTCGTGGGCTGTCCCTTTGGATCCACCCTCTCGCTCAGAAGTCAAACGTGAGATCGCACTGTTGAAGTTGAACAAAGCCGCAGGACCAGATGATCTTCATCCAGCCCTCTTCAAATCCGGAGGCCATACTCTTGTCGATGCTTTACATGAATTACTAATGAAACTGTGGGAGCAGGAGACTGTCCCAACCGACTGGAGCAGTTCCGTCGTAGTCCCAATCTTCAAAGGAGGTTCGCGCTCGGAATGCAGCAACCATAGAGGAATCAGTGTGATCTCCATCGCCTCCAAAATCCTTCACAGACTGACTGGCACTCGTGAAAGCCAGATTCATGAGGAAAAAGCCGGGTTTCGTTAGGGTCGTGGCTGTATCGACCACATCTTCACCTTGCGTCAGTTGTTGGAGAACCGTCACACAAATTGGCGGCCCACCGTAGTCGTGTTCCTCGAAATCAAAGCTGCATTCGATTCAGTTGATCGATGTGCCCTTTGGAATTGTCTACTCAGGAAAGGTGTACCCGAGAAATATGTAAATATTATCCGAGCATTATATGTGTGCAGCTCAGGCAGAGTGAGGGCTTACGGCAAGCTGTCGCCACCCTTCAATATCTTCAGCGGTGTGAGACAAGGATGCTCGTTGTCACCTTTCCTCTTCAACTTCGCTATTGACAAAGTCATGGAGATTGCATTTACAGGACATGACTTGGAAGGTGTGGAGCTAATCCCAGGAGAACGACTTCTTGACTTGGAGTATGCAGACAACATTGCCCTCATTTGTCACAGCTCCCAGATGTGCAAGCCGCGCTGTACAGATTAGCACTGGCTGTCAGCCGCTTCGGGCTTTGCATTGCATCATCGAAGTACAAAGCGTTCCTCCAAGATTGGCTGGGATCACCTTCTGCGCTGACCCTTAGTGGGGATCGGCTAGAAGTCGTTCAGAAATTCAACAATCTAGGAAGTTGTATCAGCGCCCTTGGGATTGAAGATGATATCACGTACCGCATAACAAAAGCTCGAAGTGCTTTTGCTAACCTTCGCCACCTATGGCGACGGCGCGACATTACTCTCGCCCTGAAGGGTAGAGTGTACAATGCAGCGGTACGTTCGACCTTACTGTACGGTTGCGAAACCTGGCCCCTAAGATTGGCGCACATAAAGAGGCTAGTTAAGTTCGATCACCGGTGCCTTCGCAGTTTGGCTCACATCTGGTGGGAACACCGCATGAGTAACGAGCGTGTTCGACGCCTTGTTTACGGCAAAGAAAAAGGAACTGAACCTCTCAGCACCGTCATTTCAGACCCCGATGGCAGGGCCACGTGTTGCGCATGTCAAACCGCCGAGTTCCACGACGTGCGTTGTTTGCTCGCCGGGAATGTGGATGGAAGAAAAGGAGGGGTGGCCAAGGGATAACTTGGTCGAGAGGAATGAAGGCCCTCACTTCGGAGCTGGCCTCGGTTGGAGCGTCAAGGCTCCCTGCTTGGGGTCAAAAAGACAATGAACACGTTTGGCCAGATACAATTGATGACATGGCTAGGAGCTGACCTCAGTGGCGTTCCTGCTGTGAGTTTCTTTGTCCCCCTCCATCCCTTTTAGCCTCCCCCTCCAACCACGATCTCATTTCGTAGCGTAATATAATTTTACATAATAATTTTTCTTTATGCCTAGTAGCCGGCTAGTAGCTTACCGGAGCGATGCCTATCCGTTGATGGTAGCTCAGCTGACATGCAACTGTTGTATTTATTTTCCTTTTCCTTTACGTATTGCGGTACAGTAGCTGAGGTGTTTCCCACCCCTTGCTGATGTGTATAATGATGATGTGTGGAAGGATGATACCCCTCCTAAATAAATTGTATTACGCACAATCGCCTGCAGTCACTACAGCTTGATTCGACTGAGCAGCTGTGATTCGTGCGCCGGCTTGCAATGGATTCAGATACCTTGACTGACGTTGCCAAATAATATTGCTAGTATAATAATAAGTCGCATTACAAGAAGGGTAGACAGAAATCGAAAGCATCGAACGGAATCTCTAAGAATCGGAAGTGAGTGTGTGGGGGGGGCGCAAGAGCGTCACTGATTTAGCCACCGCGTCATATCCGATAGGGTACCCGAGAACTGGTGTGGCCGCCCAGGAGAGCAACAACCATCAACCCCGTTTAGCCTTGCAGTGGTCATCTTAGTGGGTCTGTTCACTTACCCTGGTTTTTGTGGCACTTCTATTGGCTACATCCCTAAGGAAGTTACTTCAAGTATCAACAAGACTCGTGTGGCTTTCCAAAGGCCTAACTATTTATGGAGAAGGCGGGATATTAGCCTGTCAGTAAAAGGTCGGATGCATAACTATGCGATAAGACCGGTGTTACTGTGTGGATCAAAAACCTGGCCAGTTCTCAGTAAAGACATAAAACGCTTAATTGTGTTCGGTTATCAGCAGAACGCCGATAGACAGTACCGACACCTTGCTGCCGAGCAATGACTACCGGTCGTACACGGGCAAAGGATAGTGCGACCATCGCCCGGTCCCTACGCAGACTCGAACCCGCATCCTGGGATTACAAGGCAAGCTTGCGATCCTTAGGGCTACAGGTCAGTACCGGTCACCGTGGTTTATGTAGTATTGCACATCGCTGGTAGGATCACCGGGTGAACGATACTGCTGAGATCCGCCAGTTTGTTGTCGGCAAGTACCCTTCTGGTGCTTCATTCGAGTATTTGCTGAATCTTAACCGCTTACGCTGGTTAGGTCATGTGGTTCGGATGCCCATAGACCAACTTCCTCGGTGTTCAGTATACGCTGTCGCTGCACCAAGTTGGACGAAACGGCGATGTGACTAGTCGACGACGTGGCATAAAGAAATTGACTGAGAGAATTGGTCAAGCGTGTGCGTGCTGTTTTCCTGAATGGGGCCCCAGGATGGCCCGCACCAATGGCTGGAGACTCCAGTAGCCATGGCGCAGTCAGTGGTGTTCCTGCATTCGGTTCCTCGCATCTAGCTGTTAATTTTCATCCCATCCGGACTAGCGTTAATCACTTAGATCTAAGTATTCTGCGTGCGTCTAACCTCATTCCTTCATTGTTGTAATTGCTGTGCGGGCAATGAGACTCGCGGCAACTGGATCAACTGCACTTCGGTGCCAGATCATAGTTGTTCAACCGAACTGAATCTCGTGTCCTTGATCGGTTATCTCGCGGTGCCACCTGATTAGGCGCAATACTAGTGAACAATAAGGTGGTCGGCGTACAAGCAAGCACACATCACCGAGTCAACGAAGACGATTCGAATACAACAGACACTTCTCAGTGAGACAGCAGAGGACTGAGCCGGTTTTGAATTTCAGAGAGAAGGAATACTTGCCCAACAGGGTTCAGCGTCAGGCCAGTCATCCGTCACTCAATATTCCGTGTGCATGCAAGTCGCCAGCATCAATAAGCAGACGCATTGTTGACCAGTCATCAGACTGACCCCGGAATCCGCGTTTCGGATATTATTACGTCATCCCAATGCACGCTTCTTTCGGTTTGCCGAGGCAAAGGCGATAAGCCGGCTAAGACCGGCCCTGTGTGTGCAGAAACAATTAGTGGTTGACTTCAGTTGCTCTGGTCTTAGGACCATGGCCGCCACTCACCTCACTGCATTTGACTGACTAGTTGAACGGTATTTGATAATTTCTTAGTATTGTTTTGGTACTGAGGAGACAATACAAAATAAGGTGAATGCCAAAAACCACTGACGGAAGCGCACACGAGGCGAATCGAATTGCTGGCGCTGGCACTCTAACTTCATCTTGAGGCAACTATTTTAAGCCCAAAAATGGGTAATATTAACGTTCTGTGAAATATGCCCAGAGTCCAGTTGTGCCCGGATTCGAGCAGTACGTTCGAAGCATGGTTTAAATGGGGTGGGGGAGATTTATTCCAGACAAACTTTAGCTGCGAGGACGACTTCTGATAACGTAGAAACGTACGATTTTTATTAATAGGAAGTCATCAGCTGTACGCTGGCGCGATGTACTGATGCTTCACTGCCACGCGACCACCACCAGTCGTGCATGGGCTGAGTATACCGCGACGCCCGCCACTACGTCAATCCGAACCGGTGTAACCTAGGGATTTCAAGCCAGGCGTGCAATCTTTCGGCCACCGACCGAAGTTTTAGAGATGCTGTATGCGTTTGTGGACCGGTCGATAAGAACAATGCTCTGGGTTTACGGAAACATTCGATCATCTGTAATCAACTGCGCAGTTCAATCGGAATATGCCGGCCGTTCGCATGTTGGTCACAGTTACAAAGTTCGAACAGAGTTTAGTGACGCTGCATGAATCTCAGTTTCCCGAACCAAGTTTTATTTGAGCAAGATTGGCTGTAACCCTAACACACCAAGTAACCAGGTGAGGTTGTGCACTGGATAGGATTTAACAAACGAACCCAAATCTAGACGGGAGACAGCGAGAACCAATCCGGAATGCAAGTCAGACATTTGAACCACTACAACAAGAAAGTCAATCAATCAGCTATGGTGAAACCTAAGGCGAATACCTGCCGATCCCTACTCCCATAAAACTTAAGTAAACAAGAAAAGGATAAAGAAGGTATAGTGGAATAGGTGGACGAATCGTCGAAGAGAAAAACAAAAAGGGATAAAATAAATGGTGTCCAAATTTGGAGTGATCGAACAGTTTTCAAAGGGAGGGAAGTATTTAGCGCATTCATTAGACACATTAGCTAGAGGTGTAGAGCACCTCAGCTACTGTGCCGTAATACATAAAAGAAAAAAGAAAAAAATACAACAGTTGCATGCCAGTTGAGCTACCATCAACGGATAGGCATCGTTTCGGTAAGCTACCAGCCGGCTACGAGGCAACAGGAAAAATTATTATGTAAAATTATATTACGCTACGAAATGAGATCGTGGTTGGAGGGGGAGGCTAAAAGGGATGGGGGGGGACAAAGGAACGCACAGCAGGAACGCCACTGAGGTCAGCTCCTAGCCATGTCAGCAACTGTAGCTAGCCAAACGTGTTAATCGTCTTTTGGATCCCATCCAGAGAGCTGAGGCGTGCCAACCGAGGCCAGCTTCGAAGTGAGGGCTTTTATTCAATCAATTAGCTATGGCAGAACCTGAAGCAAATACTTGCCCATCCCTACTCCCATAAAAACGCAAGGGAATAAAAAGAAGGTATAGTGGAGTAGGTGGAGGAATCATCGAAGAGAAAAATAAAGGGGATAAAAGGAATGGTGTCCAAATTTGGAGTGAGCGAACAGATGCCGACGGGAGGGAAATATTTTGCGCATTCAGTATGTGAGTGAAATGGAACAAGTGGAAACATTGTTAGACCTGGGTAAACCACATACGACCAAGCAGCAAAATACGAGGACATCATGCAAATTTCCGAGAAACGTTTGGTGATCAGCATGGGATTGCGAGCTCCGGTAGTGACTCGGTCCTTGAAAAACCGCTTCTGGTTGTATGAGAACGAATCAGTAATACGGAATAACGATGTAAAGTCGTTAGGTATATTCTCCAAGTGAAATGTGCTCCGGGATGAATTAATGTGAGAATCTAGCGGATAAAATCTAAGTGGCAAATAACTCTTGGAAGACTGGGGTTGTCGATTCAGCACGGCCTCCTAGCTGAAGGGTCAAAATAAGGATGAAATCGGGCGTCCGGTGCAGGGTGGAGAGTGAACCACATTGAAAGTGTATCCGGAAGACCTAATGCAGAAATTCTTCCATGATACTTGAAAGCCACAGCAATACATCAACCATTTGAACTGATGCTTCGCTGCCATACAACCACAACCACCACCTATGGTACAAAGCATAATAAGAGGGAGATAAGGGGAACTTACCTAAAAAGTTTAATGCCCTAAACAAACATCTAGGGTCATGGCGCCTATGCCTTGTGTCGACAACATACCGTCACAAACAGCTGGCTATCGTGCAAAGATAAGGCGGCATCGGCGAGACAGCTTCCTTGCGGCTTTCACTGTCTCGCGTCATAATCAGCCATTACCCTGCAGATAACTCAGCACCAAACACACTTTAAACAGGCAGTCCGACTATGAAACGTGATCAGACGCGCCACTGGTGTCGGTTGCGGGGCCATGTCCTGTAAAGTCTCGAGCCTAGCACAAGACGAGTCACGTGGACTCCGGCGGACCGACGGCACCCAGTTTGGTCGTCAGGGTCCTTATTTCCCGCTGCCAAGTCAACTTCTGTCCTCCTCGAGAGAGTGAAAGTGAACAAAGAAGGGTGTGCGCAACTCACCCATAAGCTCGGCCACCGTAGTGATATCGGGATAGCGCCAGATGACCAGCTGATTCTTTGGAGTACCATGTGATGTCACGATTTCCCGATAGTCACTGTTCCAAATGATTCCAGAGATCTGAGAAAAAGGACAATGAGAAGGCAGGCTGTTTAATGGTATGCAAAAGAACAGGACAATACAAGTTGCCTGTGCAGAGAAGCAGCAGAAATTTCTCGAGTTGAACAGCAAAGGGAACTGAAAATGCAGAGGATTGGTAGTGGTGCCACGCGATATGGACAGCACAGCTGGGCGCCTGTTTAACAATGAATTTGAATAGGTGACCGTTGCGTGCGTACGCACCAACCGACGATCAACTCAATCAGAAGGTACCCTAGAACTGTTTATATGGTATATAGTCGGTAGTCTTGGAAAGCGGCTTACAACTAAAATAAAGTGGATTCGAGGGGTAGGCTAAGTATTACGAAGCGTATCAGCTGACCCACAGTGTGAAGCTGCGGAAGATTGTAAGATTTTCAGTCGCATACATATACGCCGTGGTTTAGTATCTTAAGATTTGTGTCTAGACGTAGTGAGAATTGATGAGAGTAGTACTTCATGGTGTTCTTGTTCTAACATGTTAACCTATTTAAGCAACAAGTAGAGACTGAAGTATACTTAAGAAATTTACAGCCGTTGTGACGTTTTCCAGGTAGAGTGAAGTCGATCATTCGCACGTAAACGATTTGGTGGACGACACACATAAACGACGCCCTTATTGTACATTAAAACAGGTTAATTTTTTGACTTGGGCCCAGTTAAACGGAGCACGGGGATCTAAGTGGAGCATAACCAACCAGCGGAGTTTGTAGATGACGGACGTTTAGCAGGGTTCGACCAACGACAGTCTTTTGAGTGCGTAGTATATTCACTCCGGTTGGCCACTCCTATTACAAGTAAGAGATATGAACCCGACTTTCTGATCGTACTCAAAGAGCGCGAAAGCCTTTAAAATGGGCTTAAACTGGTCAAGAAGTATATGGAAGGAGAACCGTTATGGGCCAAGTACATCTACAGCCAAGTTTCGGGATGTTAATCGAAAAGGAACAGAGTAGTAGACAAAACAAATGAATGTCACGAATATTCCACCGAGAGTACACGGCGACCCAATCGACACGGTTTTGTTCATGAGTTCCGTGAAGTCGAAAGCATCCAAGCGCGGCGGATTCACTTATCGGCACCCGCAATTCTTAATAACTATGAGTAACAGAGGGGGAGGGGTGGAGAAAATGAGCGAAATGTTCTGACGATGGTTGAACAAAAGTCGGTGCAATGGTTACATGGGAGAACTGGGAGCAACAATAACGGGGCAAATGTAACAACCATAAACCTTCTGAGAATGACTTCGAAGTTATCTACTCCATGCCTGAACGCATCTCGCAAGAATCTTGAAAGCAACTTTTGTTCACTGTTGTGGCTATCTGCATGCACTATCTGAAACCGGATTTGTGCGCAAAACACAATTTATACGGCCGGTAATAATATCCCGTGGCCAACAAAACTGTTACTTAATCACCGAGTTGATACCTTGGATATCCATTTTGAACTAATTAGGTTTCTGCGTTAACGTTTTTTAGTTTACTCAGCATACTATCTATAGCTCTGTTATAAATTATCGATTTTGACCATTCCAACAACTCAGAACACAGCTCCAACCCGATTTGACGCTTTGCATACATAATCAGCGCGAGGAATACATATGGGTAGCTCTGTACTCACTCTGCGATCCCCTTCAGGTGAAACACGCAGTTTTTCTCATTGCACCTATCCGATGATGCAGCTTCGAGCACCGGTCAAGCCGGTGTTGGTATTGCCCTGAGTCCCCGGGCTGAAGCTACTCTGGTTGATTGGATTCCAATCAGTAGCCGGATGTGTGCGGTACGATTGGCTGGCTCGTTCAAAGCTTCGAAGTCGCGTGGGACTCACAGGTGTCTATCCGTTTCGCTACCTATGCATCGACAAACTGTAGCGATGACTCGGTAAAAGACGACTTCTATCGTCAATTGAACGAGCTTCTTAGCCAAAGAAGAAGCTCGGACACTGTAGTGCTGGCTGGGGATCTGAGCGCTCAAGTTGGAAAATTATCCACAGATGAGCTGCATCTGGGCGGCCAACATGGTATAGGCTCCCGTAATGATAACGGTGAGCGTTACATTATTTGTGTGAAGATGCTCGCTTATTCCTTGCGAGCACTAATTTCAGATACAGCACCCGCCAGAGGGTGACTTGGCGCCCACCAGCCTCGAACCAGCTATGGACGCAAATCGATCACATTGCGATAAGTTACCGCTGGAAAGGCTGCATCCAGAACTGTCGCTCGATTTGGAGCACAGGTGTGGACACCGACCATGCATTTATGTGTGCTGACATGCGGATGCGTTTTGGCGGACGCGCACGACGACGTTGTGAGCGCATTGACACCAGCCAACTGGCGAAGCCAGCTGTTCTGAATGCATAGCAAAGTACGCTGTCATGCGAGTTGGATAAACGCTCATTGGATGCAGTTGAAGCCCAAAGGTCTCATATTCACCAGACCTTACTAGCAGCAGGAAAATCCTCATGTGGTATGTCTAATCACCAACATGGACATTGGGTCTCTTCACAGTCTCTGGAACTTATCGATGCTCGCCGGCATATTCCGGCTGGAAGCGAACACAATGAAACTCGCAAAGAGCTCCGGGCAAAATTCCGTGTTAGCCTGAAGAGAGACTGCGAATCCTGGTGGTCTGTTCGTGCGGCAGCGACGGAAGTGGCCGCTGCCCTTGGCAACCATCGTAAGTTATTCCGTCTGATACGGGAAACGGGCAGCAGGAGACCTGGTGTTAGTGAAACAATTTGTGATGAGAATGGACAGCCTATCCACAACTTATCAAAACGCTTAGAGCGTTGGGCTGAGCATTTTAAAAGACAATTTAATCGGTCGGAATGGTTAGATTTCTCAGCGGCAACTGATCGCCCCGCTCCTTGGGCTGTCCCTTTGGATCCACCCTCTCGCTCAGAAGTCGAACGTGAGATCGAACTGTTGAAGTTAAATAAAGCCGCGGGACCTGATGATCTTCCTCCAGCCCTCTTCAAATTCGGAGGGGCCTGCTCTTATGGATGATTTACACGAGTTACTAGTCAAACTGTGGGAGCAGGAAACTGTCCCAACCGATTGGAGCCGCTCCGTCATAGTCCCAATTTTCAAAGGAGGCTCACGATCGGAATGCGGCAGCCATAGAGGAATCAGTCTGATCTCCATCGCCTCCAAATTGCTTGCCTCTGTCATCCTTCACAGACTGACTGGCACTCGTGAAAGCCAGATTCGTGAAGAGCAAACCGGGTTTCGTCGAGGTCGTGGCTGCATTGACCACATCTTCACCTTGCGTCAGTTGTTGGAGCGCCGTCACATATATTGGCGGCCCACCATTGTCGTGTTGCTCGATATCAAAGGTGCATTCGATTGGGTGGATAGACATGCACTTTGGGACTGTCTACTCAGGAAAGGTGTACCTGAGAAATATGTGAATATTATCCGAGCATTATATGCGCGCAGCTCGGGCAGAGTGAGGGCTTACGGCAAGTTGTTTTCATCGCCCTTTAATATCTCCAGCGGTGTGGAATGCAGATGCCCGCTGTCACCTTTCCTCTTCAACTTCGCTGTTGACCAAGTCATGGAAATCGCGTTCACAGGACACGACTTAGAAGGTGTGGAGCTACTCCCAGAAGAACGACGTCTTGACTTGGAGTATGCTGATGATATTGCCCTAATCTGTGACAACTCCCAGACGTGCCAAGCGGCACTGGACAGATTAGCACTAGCTGTCCGTCACTTCGGGCTTTGCTTCGCACCCTCGAAGTGCAAAGCGTTCCTCCAAGATTGGTCTGGACCGCCTCCTACGCTGACCGTTGGTGGGGATCAGCTAGAAGTCGTTCAAAATTTCAACTACCTTGGAAGTTGTATCAGCGCCCGAATCGTGTAGCAAAAGCTCGGGGCGCTTTTGCTAACCTTCGCCACTTATGGCGCCGGCGCGACATCACTCTTGCCCTGAAGGGTAGAGTGTACAGTGCAGCGGTAGGTTCGACCCTTCTGTACGGTTGTGAAACCTGGCCGCTTAAAGCAGCGGACCTGAAGAGGCTAGTTACGTTCGACCACCGGTGCCTTCGCAGTTTGGCTCACATCTGGTGGGAACACCACGTGAGCAACGAGCGTGTTCGACGCCTTGTTTATGACACAGGAAAAGGAACTGAACTGCTCAGCACCGTTATTTCACGCACCAGGCTCCGATGGCTCGGCCACGTGTTACGCATGCCAGCCCACCGACTTCCGCGACCTGCGTTTTTTGCGTACCGGGGGTGTGGATGGAAGAAGAGGAGGGGTGGTCAAGCGATGACTTGGTCCAGAGGAATGAAGGCCCTCACTTCTGAGCTGGCCTCGGTTGGAGCGTCACGGCTCCCTGATTGGGGTCCGAAGGACGATGAACACGTTTGGTTGGACACACTTGCTGATATGGCTAGGAGCCGACCTCATTGGCGTTCGTGCTGAGTTTCTTTGTCCCACCCCATCCCTCTTAGCCTCCCCCTCCAACCACGATCTCACTATTTAGCCTTATATAATTTTGCATAATAATTTTTTGATGCACAGTAGCCGGCTGGTAGCTTACGGGAACGATGCCCATCGGTTACCGGTAGCTCAGCCAGCTTGCACCAGCTGCATTTTTTTCCTTTTTATCTATGTATTGCGGCACAGTAGCTGAGGTGTTCCCCACTTCTAGCTAACGTGTATGATGATGGTGATGATGACACATCTGGGTCATGCGAGAATCTACCAAAAACAATTCCGAACCCTGAACTAATTTCTGATTTCGAATATTGTTAAGGAAATGTAACGGTACGACTGGTGCGCCAAAAGTCAGCAGTATGTGGTGCAAACTGGCGACAAATCGGTAGGGAATAGGTCAGGATGTTATGATCCCCAAGGTTGCGCGGTGTCACTTGGATTGGCTGCGTTGATCACGGCCGCTTCTATTGGCTGATAAGGAAAGCGACGTTTCGGTCACTGGTTTAAGCGCTGCAGATCACCTGGCGCAGACTACCGTTAATTATATGCTCCCGATGTTTTTCTTGGATCCTACCTGCTTTCTTTTATCCCGTACTCGCCAATAATAGCATACAAATATCCGAAAATAATCACCCGAACGATTAATGCGGTTATTCCACTGGATTCGTTGCTATCCAACTCAAATCACGTGCTAAAGTAGCGAAGAGTTATCCCACCGTATCTGTATGCATTATTGGATATATTTTATCGCAACTTGTCTCACCAAGTGATTGGCTGTTGCTGGATATCCCCGAGGTGGCTGCGTTTGATGTGCATGTTGACAAGGTGCCTACCTGTCTATTACCCACTACCTCATCCATACTGGCTCCAGGAGACAGTTGATCGTTGCTGGAGGGGACGGGTGCACGGTTCTTGTGGCCGTGCTGGGCTCGAAGTAGTTCCATGCACTCAGTGTGGAGCGGACTACGGTCCAGCCACCGCATTGTGTGCGCTTGATTCCCAAATACAGCGTCCCTGTGTTTGTCTGTGAAGGAGTGTGGGCCGGCTCCACTGAGGAAATGTGACTCCCATCCGCATGCCTCCCGATCTTATTCCTTCGGCTTTACACTGGATATGGGGTGTGTGGATGGAGCTGCGGATGGTGTAGTGCAAGCCACCCATGCCCCCTCTGTAGGCGCCGGCCTCCTGTGGTTTGCCACAGTGACAGGCAAATCCGAAACCGTATGCCGCGAACCAATCTCAGCAGTCTAGCAAACAGACACAGAGCCAATAGAAAAGCATGGAGACCAACGGATAAGGGACAGTCATCGCGTCATAATCAGCGTGGCATAGTAGTTGAAGGTGAGCAACACACTTCAGCTAATATGCCGCAGGAAGAAAGGAACATTTTGACAAAAGGTAGAACAAAACATTTTAGTTTGTTTTTCACACGCCGACTTTTTTCATTCTTTGTCAATTTCAATTTTTGAAGTAATAAACATGTGAATCAACACAATTCTGACACAATTCTTCCACTGATTCCGGTTCCCGGCCATGTTTTCAAGAGTGTTAAGCCATTGGCACTCCCCAACTTTGGGTCCCAATCCTGGAAAACGTACGGATCCAACAGCAGCTAGATACGACGTCAGCGATTTCATGTGCTGTCGTCATGTGGAAGGCTGATCACCATGCGGTCGCATCCAGCCAGGTCCTTGACGAGCGAACAGAGCACGACGCGGTAGACGATCAGGTGCCATGCGTAGGACGTGACAGCTATCTCAACTGGCGCAGCAAAACCAGTTTGCTGAAGGGAATACTCGCATTCCCCAACATGCGACGTCGAACGTCATTACTATTAACTCGAGTAATCCTCCTTAAGAAGCCGTTATCGAAGGCAGAAAGACGACGCATGTCTTCCACGCGAATCGGCCAGGACTCACTCCCACACAACAACACTGAGCGAAATATAGTTGGAGTGTAACTCACAGTAGAGAAATATACATTCTCATATTACACTGGCTCCGGGTACATTATATCTATCTTATCAGCTGCATTGGCAGGGATGGCCGCGTGACTGCATATGTTGTTTCGAGTTTTCAGGAACTAGAAATGCATTTATGTACATGCCGCGTATATGACGCCAGAAAAAAATGTTCTCGATCTGAAAGACTGTGTATGAAAGGCAACAGTGAGGGCCGTCCTATTCTAAGGGAGTGAGACTTGGACCCTTTGATCTGAGAATTTGAGACGTCTACCAGGCTTCGATCATCTTTACCTGTGGAGTATTGCTGTTGGGGGTCTTGTCAGTACTGCGCACCCATCGGTTCCATCAGGATCCGAATGCATGAGCACCAGCAGCTCGCTCCGCTAGCGTGTAGCTTATGGTACTGAGCGATGGGAAACAGCAGCGGACCATCATGATTTACAAGCTAACTGCGAAATATAGCGAGTCTTATCCTCCACTGCCATGCAAGTTACGAAAGTTGCAGAAGACAGAGTAAGTCTCGGAAGGCACCATTTTCATTCACCGTAGTTATGTACGAAATAGCATACAGAAACCGCCTAGGCAGATATTTTGGTACACTAATGAGTTTTGAAGTAATTTTGTGTAATTAATTGAGATTTCATCGTAGAGGCTTCCAAATCAAAGTACCCTCCACAAGCCCGGAAAAGCAGTAGACAGCCGTTTCGACGAAATTATCTCGTCGATGAGTTGCATTGTCTTGGGTACGTGCCCAATCACTGCGTATAGACAGTTCGAGGGGGGAAGAAAATTGCGAACCACTAAATAGGGTGCAGCTGGTAAGACCCACTTTCCAAGTTAGGTTCCATGCGACCCGCCGTCTGAAGAGTTAACGTGACAAGGTATGCGAATGCTATTGACAACCTGTCTCCAGTGACCTAATAAAGCTGTCGGTTTAAGATGCGTCTGATGATGTGTTTACGCTGAGCAGTAAGGAATGCAAGGATGCTGCGTCGCCGATACCATATCATGACAACTAAGTGTTTTGAGAACATAAACTGTTCGAAATGTGTAGGTAGCTTGGTCATGAAATCCTGCTTGTAGCGTTCAGCCCTCTCAATGGTAGGATCACTAGTAGGATTTATGACAGATAAGCAACAACAGAAACCATGATGTAATGATATAGTGTGTTTCACGACGGCGATTGGAATGGCTTACTTGTGCGACTACATCCACGGATTTGGCACACTTCCCGGTACTCGCGTTCCAGAAGCGTAACGTGTGATCCGCGGTGCCTCCGCCAGTGCACAATAAGTTGTTCTTCCAGGGACACCATGCGAGAGCTTTGACTGCAGCTTGATGCTCTGCGAGTGATACTACAGGCTGAGATGTAGTGCGCTGAGAGATGATGGAATCGGGCCACACGGCCGCACAATTATCGTTCGCACCGGAGGCCAAGAACCGTTTGTCAGGGGACCACGCAAGGCCACAGACTTCCTAAACAAATAGGGCGAACGTTCGGATGTAACACAAATTAGAATCATAACACTCTTTTGGGCAATTCACTGTGGGAAAATACAATTACAAAACTAAGACAAACGCAACAGATCAGTGAAAGCTGGGGATGCGATTGGTGGACTAAACTCAGTCGATCAATACTTCCCTGGATACAGTCAAGTGGTAGACGTCATGGCATGCGCACACATCCAAAACACAGGCGTGTTGGTCGGTAGGTGGACAGTGGTCACTTTCAGATGCAGTCACTGTTCGACATAACGACTAGGGCAGAATGAGAGCTTGTATCAGTGTTCTCCATGTACTTATCATAAAACCGGAAAATAGCGTGCATCAGAAGACGGAGAAAGCGGTGGTAGAAAATCATATAAAATTAAAACAATGCGGGAAAAGAGAGTAGAATTAACGCGCAGGCAAGTATTGCTAGCAGGTCAGTTAAAGCTCACTAAAATGACGAGTAGCAACGGTGCAGAGCAACATCCAGTCACACACACACACAATGAATAAAAAGTACAGGCAGAGGAGATCATAGGGTCGTGGATGGTCCAACTCGATAATCATCAACAGAACCAAAATGAAATCCGTTTTTCGGAACAGGCTAAAGAAGGTGAAGGCACCTTCCCCATTAAGAATGTGTGTTGGGATGCGAAGGAGCAGTAGACCATTTAAGCTAAACTGTGACCCGATTACAAAGGCAAAAATGGCATCAGTAGTACGCCTGTACGCAATACCGACAGTTTGCTGCCGCGAAACCACTGCCAATCGCATGTGGGCCAAATATACTGCGACGGTCGCCCGGTCTACGCAGGCTCGAACCTGCGCTCCCGGGTTAAAGGGCAGGCTTGTGATCCATAAGGCCACGGATCGATTCCAATGCATCCCATATAGTTGGTGCAGTGACTGTAGCCACCAGCAGGAAGATAAAGCGTGAAGAAACAAAAAACGCAACTAGTACATTTGAACGTGAGTAAAGCGATACAGACGTTGCACACACACACACACACACACACACACACACACACACACACACACACAAACGAGTGGTGTTCGTTAAAACAACCCACCTGCGTGTGGAAGTCGTTGAAGCCAACCTCGTGCTGTGGAGATCGAGTGTCGTGTTGCCGAATGTGTCCAGAACGACATCCACTCGTGACAATGTGCTCACGCCAAGTCACTACGGGCACACGGCCAGCCACTCCCGCCTCACCCAAGCGCATTGTTCGTAGCACCGATTGGGTTGTTGTGTCCCACAGTTGGATACGTCCGCCACTCAATCCTACGGCCAAAACGTGTGCAGCGTCCGGTGACCAAGATACACTGGTTACGTATTCGTCAAAGACAGCTGTACACGTTAGACATGTGATCTCACCCGACGACGCATTCCACAAATATACCTCCGAACCCAGGGCAATAGCCAGAAAATCGTCAGCAGACCAATCAAGAATGTTAAGGTAGAAATCGTCTTTGATTTCTGGAGCGTCGAGCACTTTTTCGGGCATCTGTGATGACAGGAAGATGAAGGATGGATCAATTTAGTAGTTTTTGCCATAAACGACAGGAAGTGTGAAGCAAACACAATCGTTTTGCCGTATGGCCAATCAGATGAAGGAGATTTGGGAAGTGGTCACAACAGACAACAGCTGAACCAGTTGGAGGGTTAGAAGGAAAACTAAGTAAGTAGATCAGCTTGTTGCGGCCGACCAACTAGGAGTTAAAATCAAGCCAGGGAATACAACCGAATCAGTGACCTCGCAATCGCATCACTACGGATGAGGTTGCTAATTGACTGTGAATGTAGTTCAGTGCCAACAACGCGGTCAGCGTTCGGTCGATTGCTTCCTTGTCACGTTATTGATTGAGCACCCATCTTGTGCACTCATTCCGGTATGTGTTGCAGAGGTAAAGAATAAACGTCGTAGTGAACACCAAGACAGCATGTGAAGGACATGAACAGCCAATGGTTGTACGGCCTTCATGGTCCCACAAAGACTGCGACGGAAACCTCTTCACGGTCGCCGATTCAGCTGTTGCTGCGTCATGATTACGCAATTTGTAATGAGTGAAAAATCAAACACCGCTGTTCCTACCCACCCCAGAGAAACTGTGACTAGATCCTCGGACGTTAATCAGCCATCTGTGACCGTGTGTTGATTACAAAGCGTAGGTGCCTTAATCCTGATTGTTTGCCTAGAGCATTTACGTTCTTCCCAATTATTATTCTTTACTCCCTAGGTCGTGGTTGCACGGTAGAGAAGCATCAGTTCAAATGAGGGAAGTTTTTGTTCGTCTCAGTGATACCGTTATCGGATAACAATTACGCCATCTTCCAATAACGAAACGATTGGTGCTTTTCCAGATATTGGGGTTTGGACCATCTGGCTTCTAAGGTGTTAGAAAAGACAGGAAATTTTCATCAAAGCTCCAAGTTATTAGTAATCAAAAACTTGGCCCTCAAAACCTACAAATACTATGCGTACAAAACTGTTGTGTAGCGGAAGTCGTGACGTTTAGAGGGAATCCACTGTCCTCCGCAATGTTACTAAACTACATGACTGGGCTATATGCCAGTTCGCTTGCAAGCAATGACGATCTGTCACCGTCTCCATCGTTCAGTAACATAAGTCGCTGGCTAAGTGGAGTAAGCTGCTACCGACCATGGGTTCGGCTCCCTGTAAAGGACTGAAGGGATGCGCCCCATTGACCAACCCCAGTAGGACAAAATGATTGTCTGGTACATTTCCAGATTGGGAGTTAGACTATCTGACTCGTGAACTGCGGGGACGAACAAGTAAAATACCAAGGTGTACAGGCCGTGTGTAGCATTTGACTGAGATTTGTAGTACTGTTATTACTAAAGGTCTAACTTTTGCTCAAAGTGGTTCGTGTTCACCTCGGTACAGACGTGCCAATCCAAAACTCGATCAGCCACTTTTCCGCGTCGGGCACAGTTCGCAACTGTCTTCGTTTCGACTAGGAAACCATACGAATCGGAGACGTTACAACAATATGTTCAGGAGTCAAGTTCAGTGGCACTTGTGCCATATTTGGTCTTTCCACAGCTCGTTTAGCCTCGCTCTTTAACATTTTGCTAACGTTTTACCCCCCCTCTCTCTCTCTCTCACCTCGTTGAATATTACATTCTCCTTTCCATACCACCATGGTTCGGATGGCACATTTGTCTGTTTACAGATTTGTGAATAAATAACAGTAATAATAATACGTTTTTGCAAAGATATATAAACATAGGATTATTTTGCACTATTTTATTTCTTCATTCGCATTTAAAACCCTGTGTAACTTCAAGATATTGCGGTACAAAATCTGATGTGTATCTCACTTCTAGCTAACAGTTTGAATGGTCAAGAATGAAACCGCCGACACCAAGGCGATCCCCAGTAGAGACAGAATCTAATAAGTCTTGCAAGCATAGAAGGGGCGTAGGTCGCACCACGTTTTCAGAGACACCTCCAAGAGAAGTTCAATATTTGTACAAGGCCTGTGATGAATCACGAATGACAACCGTATCGTCAGCGCGTTCAGATCAAGAGGTCGGTAACCCAGAAGTAGCTTAGTGTCACTGTTTTCGCATAGCGTTCGGTTAGGAATAGGAAGGTGATGCTGGCCACCATATCACACGCGGCTGCAGATACTGAAGGGAGAATAAGAAGGAAAAAACGGGGATTTAACGTAAAGCCCAAATACCCTAGCAACACACAGTCACGAACAACTGGTCATCGTATGGGGAATCGACCAGCCTCTCTACGGCTTTGCTTGTCCCGTCTCATAATCAGCCATTACTGCACAGACAACTCAACAATAAACACACGCTAAACAGGCAGTCCGAAGAGGAGACGACAAAGGAAGCAAGTCATGGCTTTAGAGCCTCGAGCCAAGCATAAGGTGGGACGCATAGACTCCAATCGGGAAGGAGAGATGGACCAATGTAGTAGATGGTGGTTCTGCAATAACACTGCATTTTGAAAGTGCCAAATGAACAAGAAGTGATGGGATCGGTCCAAGAAGAAAACAGCCGAAGGATTGGGAAACCCTAACGCACTATACTTGCAGTGGTAAACTGATGGGAAATTTCCTGTAGCTCTTAGCAAGAGTGGAAGTTTCCCCGAGACATCTCTCTGAGCTAGGCAGCATCACAAATAAATGCGATTAAGTGAAAAAAGCAGGACGATCATGACAAGCTGTTTGTAAAACGTGATTAAGCGTGAACGAATGATCAAACCACGTCCTGTCAGGACAACAGCCATTCTCTTACTGACTCGGAATTGAAGATTCATTAGAGAAAAAGGTAAGTAATAAAAAAATAGTGCAGCAACAGAACGAAGGAGTCAAAAGGAAGCACAGTGGATATGCGTCGCTCACGGACGCTGCAGACGACCATACTCAGAGCAATAAGTTTATTATATGAAAAAGGAATCAAAAACCCATTTGACAAGTACCCAAAACATATACCGACCCGAGGAATACGACGATTGTTGGGAGCGTTGCATGTGGCTACAGGAATCGGCGGCACAGTGACGCCCCGAGTCACATCGTGGGCAACTGATTTGAATCGTAAAATTCTAGTTCCATCTAAATCTCCGTTGAGAAGAGTCCCCGCAACGGCTCGTTGATAGTCCGGGTCCTCGATGCATTTGTTCTCATTGTTTTCTTTAATCGCGTGTTGAGCACGAGCAATATCGGTCGACTGGCGGTTCGGGATAAATCTGAAGGGCATTATCACACACACAAATAATCAGTCTCACCTGTCTCCACGTTCAATACGAGATCTACTCCCAGAGGAACTATTTGGCGTTTTTGACAATATATTAGGTGTTTTTCGGCTGCTTGGAATACTTCGCTGCTCACTTTCTTTGCAAGACGGAGTTAATGGTAGCCTAGAAGGCGTTCGTGTGGGTGTCTTTCGTCTAAGAGAATAAAGATGAAGTGTACCAAGGCACTGACTTGATGCCCATGGAGGAGAAGAGCAAAGAGGCGGCCGTTGAACTACTGTCTCCGGAACTACGTGTTGCGTCCAAAAGTGTTCGACATAGGCTACCATCAGTGGTGCTCACTTCTGAGAGAGACCGTGCAAAACTAGAGTGCGCCATAAATATAAGATTGTGAGGGAGTTCAAATCTAAAAAAGCGAGAGGCGGAGACGACTGTTATCTACATGCACAACAGTAATTCAGATTCAAGGAGAGCAAGACATGGGCAGCAATAGTGCGAGGATCAAAGATGAACGAGGCAGTGTAAAAATGAGGTGCACTAGTATAAGTTGGTAAAACTTCGCATTAAAACGGAAAAATTGGTGATTAAGCCCGATATGAAATAGCTGGAAGCTAACGGAGGTTACATAATTTCAGCGCTTAAGCAGCATTTGTGGCACGTGAATTGAGAATTAGAGAAGTCCTCGGCAGTAAGCTGGTAGTTCATACCGCTGCCACACAACCAACGACAATTGTGTGCGGGTTAGGAACAATGCGAGATTGCTTGTGCCAAGGTACGATCAAATAAGCGACCTGTGGACCACATCTCAGACATCTTGTCCAATCGAACACCGGCCGGTCACAGAAAGAGATGCTGTCTGTGTCAAACGCCAAATAGCAAAAATATCACTACAGGTGTTTTACCATTAAAGATTCACATCCTCATAAACAAAAGAAGAAAAATAGATGGTTGTTCGGAAAGTTAATTCGGCTTTTGGTATGAAAATGGTGGATGACTTTCTTATAGTGAATAAATATTTCATGGAATTATATAGACGTTCAGGTGCTATCCTGCTATCTAAGAGCATGGGGTAGACTGGAGATTACAGTATGTGTTTAGCGTAGCCCATCCTCCACGCGAGGAGGGCAAGAATTTTGGTACGTTACTAAGACAGACGGCAACGGTCGCACCTAAGTTTCTGATCGTCGGTGACCTAAACCTTCCCCATGCTGATTGGCAGCTTGCTGAAAACAAGACGGGTACTCTGAAGAAGGAATTGGTGGATTGGATTCACGAAAATGCGTTCGAGCAATATGTCAATGTTCCGACCAGGAGTCGTACTGGAAGTACACCTCCAACCCTTGATATCGTCAACGCCAGACATGGTAATTTGATTGACTAAGGCGTGGAGCTACCCATAGGTAAGAGTGATCATTGCGTTTTGACCTTTTCTCTGGACACACCGAGGCTTGCAGAGAACCGTCGAATGGAAAGGGATTTAAATCGGATTGATTTTACGTAGCTGCAAGATCGAGCCCTACAAATCCCTTGGATCCCTGAACAGGAACAGGCCACTGGAACAGAGATGACTTCTACACATAAGTGGGCTCGTGCAGTTGCTGAAGGAATTTGCTCCTCTACGCCCCAGGAGACATCTCGGCAAACCGCGATGGTGGAGGAGATTGACAGAGCAATAAAGAGGAGCAATGCTGAATGGAGAAAATATCAAGAAACTCGGGGCTTCCGAGGTTGGCTGCAACGCAAAAGGTGCCGAAACATGGCTATTAAGTTGCAACGACAGGCGAAATACTCACATGAGCTTAGGTTGGCCAAATTTGCGAAAACAAATCCCAAGTGTTATTACAGTTATGTCCAATCAAAGGCTTCTCTAAGAGAGGTGGTCGGCTGTCTAAACATGGAGGACGGCAGCCAGACTGTAGACGAGGTCAATAAAGTAGAACGGCTGCTAAGTGTCTACCAAAATCTGCATCGGAAAGATAGTGGGTCAGCCATCACAGCCGCACTGTTCAAGTAGCTATACAATGCGGGAAATTATTCTCAATGTGCCAGAGATCTTCACAGTGCTGGCCAGTTTGAACCCTTATAAATCAGCTGGTCCTGACAATGTACATCCCGCCATAGGTAAGCCGCTGGCTGATATCCTTCAGTACCCTGTCGCGGAGTTATTCAACCAGTCCCTTCAAGAAGGCAAGCTGCCAAGTGCTTGGAAGGAGGCGACCATTGTTGCCATTAACAAGGGGGGGGGTTCTAAGTCGGTGCCTGTTAACTATAGACCTGTTAGTTTGACCAGCATCATGCTGAAGTGCTTGGAAAAGCTTATAAGAAATAGGATCTGTGAGCACTTGACTGAGCACAATCTAATTAGAGCGGAACAGCATGGCTTTCTTAATAAGAAGCCGTGTCTCACCAATTTACTGTGCTTTTGAAATGAGATTACCCGATGTCTTGATAGTGGGATGTCGGTAGAGGTGTGCTATTTGGATTTCAGTTAACCCTTTGACTCAGTGAATCATCGATTTTAATTGAGAAGCTGACATGGTTTGGATTGCATCCTCAACTATTACTGTGGCTCTCTGAATTCTTACGTGGAAGGACGTTCAGAGTCAGAGTTGGGAAAGCGAGTTCTAGTGTGGACCATGCCTTTCAGCGGTGTTCCCCAAAGTTCGGTACTGGGTCCATTGTTGTTTCTTATATTTATAAACGACCTGGCTTTTCTTCTTGAGGATCTCTGCCATATCATCGCAGATGACTTAAAGCTAGTTAGTAGGGGAAACCGAGCGACATTGGCTAAGAACATCATCACTGTGGTGAATTGGTCGAGTCAATGGGATCTACCTCTGAATGCCAATAAATGTCAGCTACCGACCAATAGTAGTAGCGGAATTGCAGTGCAGTCACCTGCGGGATCTCTATCAGTGCGGTGTATTGATGAAGCCCGCAATCTAGGTGTTATCATAGTGAACAATTTTAAACCTTCGGCACAGTGTCGCCATGCTGCCAATAAAGCGCGACAAGAGTTATTTCGTCTTAGGAGGGCGCTGGGTAACACTAAAGCAGAAGTATTCTTGCCGTTATATAAAGCAGTGGTTAGGCCACATCTGGAGTATTGTGTTCAGGCCTGGGCACCGTACTTCCGTAGTGACGCCAAGTGTATAGAAAAGATTCAGAAACTTCCGACCAGGATGATCGAAGGTCAACGAGGGAAGTCGTACGAAGATCGTCTAAGTAGTTTGGGATTATTTTCACTGGAACAGCGTAGGTTGAGATGGGATTTGCTAAAGAGATTTAAGATCATTAAGGGACTTAGTGGTATTAGTCCCACCCATCTGTTTGAGTTAGCTATGTCAGACCATCTGCGCTGGCATCGCAAAATGTGTTACGAACAGAGTATTTAACAACTGGAATAAACTCCTTATTGATTTAGTGGAGTGAGTCTGTAAAAGCCTTCAAAAGGGGCTTAGATGAGTGTTGGTCTATCCTTTTTCTAGAAATATTGTAATTGTACTGGAATATGTAGTGTATTTTGATGCTGACACATGAAAGTGAAAAGATTGCTCTTGTTATTGCTTTATTCCTTTGCAGAAGCAAGAAGTCAAGCTAAGGTCGAAGTGCCGGGGGCCGCTTCATTTACCGGCACAAGAAACTGGACGCTCGCTAGGCGAAAGCCTCTACCGTTCTTGGGACCTGACCTGACCTAAATTAGTATATGTACTCGTGTGTGCAGAAATATATGCGCCGTCGTTTCTCGCAAGACAAATATTCATTAAGCTAGAGCTATATATCAACTAAAAAGTTAAAACAAATCTTTGAATTTCCTTGACTGACACGTCAAATCGCTCGACGAATGTTTCAACGTTGTGTACTCAAACGCTCCCTGGCGTTTATCGCGACAATGTTAAACACCCCAATCTACTGGATCGCTTTACTGAAATTCAAAAACATGCTCGTGAGGTGAGTGTAGTGCAGTATGAAGTTGACATTGCAGCCGAGTATGTTCTCTAAATATTCTTCAATGTCGTCGATATATAGCCATGCATTAATGCATCTCCATTACGCTGCAAATGAAGAAAGCATAGATTTCATCGCGGCGGGGTACATATACTAAGGGTAAATAATATGAGGAGCACCAATGGTCCGCAACTGGAATCAGTGGAAGAATTGCGTACAGAATTGTACTGATTCACATGTTTAATACTGCAAAGATTGAAAATGACAAAAATGACAAAAATCGGCGTGTGAAAAACGAACTAAAATGTTTTGTTCTACCTCTTGTCCAAAGGTTCCTTTCTTCCTGCGGCATATTAGCTGAAGTGTGTTGCACACCTTGAACTACTATGCCACGATGACTATCCCTTATCCGCTGGTCCCATGGTTTTCGATTGACTCTGTGTCCACTTGGTAGACTGCTGAGATTGGTTCGCGGCATCCGGTTTCGGATTTGCCTGTCACTGTGGCCAACCGCAAGACGCCTGCGCCTACAGAGAGACCATGGATGGCTTGCGCTGCACCACCCACACACCCCATATCCAGTGTAAACCCGAAGGAATAAGACCGGAAGGCATGTGGATGGGAGCCACATTTCATCAACTGAGCCGACCCACACTCCTTTACAGGCAAACACAAGCACCCTGTATTTGGGAATCAAGCGCACACAAGGCGGTGGCTGGACCGTAGTCCGCTCCACACTGAGTGCATGGAACTACTTTTCGAGCATAGCACGACCGCAAGGACAGTGCACCCCGTCACCTCCAGCAACGACCAACTGTCTCCTGGAGCCAGTATGGACGAAGTAGTGGGTAATAGACAGGCAGGCACCTTGTCAACATGCACATCAAGCGCAGCCACACCTGGGATGTCAAACAACAGCCAATCATTTGAAATTCCGATGTCGAAGAAAGTAAACGTATACGACATAAATACCCGCTAAATGAGCACATGGAAGAAATTGGTTATAAGTGAATCCATGAGAAGTACAAAATGTCAGAAAATGCTTTTAAAAATACTGAGCGATAAAATTACACAATTAGCATGAGCGACGCGTGCAACTTAGGAGATTATCAAGTACGCAGAACAAACCAAATAAAAGGGAATGAATTTTATGCACATTAAAAATACCTAGTTTAAGGGTAAGCTGGTTTAGCCCAACTGCGGTGAAGAAGCATCATGAATGCAACATCAGCTTCAGCATGGGGCACACCGCTGAGAATGGTTGGCGGCATCCGGTTTCGGATTTGCCTGTCACTGTGGCCAACTACAGGACGCCTGCGCCTACAGAGGGACCATGGGTGGCTTGCGCTGCATCACCCACAGCTCCAACCACACACCCCATATCCAGTGTAAACCCGAAAGAATAAGATCGGGAGGCATGCGGATGGGAGCCATGTTTCATCAACTGAGCCGGCCCACA